GAGTCCAACAACAGCAAGCTGGGCGGCGCATCAGGTTGACGTTGTATCGATTCCAAGTTCAATTCCAGTGGTTTCATTTGATCAGGAAATTTCCAAAAGTGTTTATGACATTGTCCCAATTGTTGAATCCAATCCACAGAATTTGTCTCAGTCCACAGTAGTAATTCCAGAAAAAGAAACTTTGCCAGATACAATAATTGCAAGTTCAGGTAAAGATAAAGCTTATCCAAAGAAAAGAATTGTTTTTTCAGGAACTTCAATTTTAATTGGCTTGGAATACGCAATGGCCGGCGCTTTAGTTATGGGATTTGCTGGGGCTGGAATCGGAATTGGAGTTTATCTTTGGAGAAAACGTCAATCCAGAGTAAGTGCAACTTCGTGGGTCTTGGAAAATTTTCAAAGGCAAATGGATTTAGCATTATAAAATTCTTTTTAATTCTTTGATAAAAGGTGGGATGCAGTAATCAAACGGATGTGGCTTTCTCATCTATTTTGTCAGTGGCAAATGAAAATTTTGGAGCTGATGAAGAAACACCATTTGTCGATGTTGATTTAGGGGCATCTGCATCTGCGTCTGCGTCTAACGAAAAGGATCAGAAAATGTCTGATAATAAAAAGAGTGAACTTTGTATGTGTCTTTGTTGTAAACCTAACATCTCAAGCTTCTGGATTACTGAGACAATGGTAGAAGGCAGGGATCTGAGAGGCCAAAATTTCTCTAAACCGGAAACTATTACTTCGGTGCTGACAAATAGGACTGTCAGCATTCTGCCAAAATCTATTGCTGGGCATTGGAGAAGGAGTTTCTTTTCGGTCAGGTATCATCATAAGACGTATTTGCCTAGTGCAGATGAGATTGATGAAATGATCATTGGTAGGTCAAGAAAATATAAAATAGCACATTCGTTCAAGCATGAAAAACATTAATATTATTTCTAGAAATGGGAATGGACGCGTCCCATATCGGAAATCGTCATTTCTGGGCCAGAAGGATTGCTCTGCAGTATGAGACGTTTCAAGTTAAAAAGCAAAGTCGCAGAAACATATTATTGGGGAGAAACAGACTTACTGTGATCCCAGATATTGGTTTGACTAATGAGGAATACAAGAGGTATTTTGACATGCATCAAGGTAATAAAATGTTTATGTTAATCAGAACAACTTTATTCAGTTATTTTATTTTTCCAGTGCTTTTTTGTCATCACAGAGTCATTTATTTGGCTCTCCTTGAGGATAATGATTTGAATTATCTTCGAGTGCTCAACAAGTGGCATGCTCAAATTGATCAGGAGGATGAGGCAAGCACTTTCTACAAAGAAGTTCAGCGCTTGACGGGGATGTTGGCCAGTTTTGGACTAATGGAAGGAGATGGCTATTCATTTAGCCAGTTAAGGTCAGCCAGAAAAGTGGTGTATGAGAATAGCTCAGAATACCAGCGTGACTGTGCTCGTTATAACATGGAGGTCCTATTTTGGGATACTCATGAGGGAGGAGACGCGGATATCGAAATCTTGGCGAGTTGTGGATTTATTTTTGGGAATACTTGAGATTATTCCTTTGAGAGGATGTAAAAGTTTTGTCTTAAGCGCAGAAACTAACAAAAATCAGAATCGAATGATTTGTATATTTGTACATAAATTGGTACTAATCAATCAGGGCAATTTGTTATTGCAAAGCTGCGCGCAAAGACTGAAAACTGTTCGGTTGAAATGTTTGAATTTGTTGGGGTTGAGGAATAAAGAAACTTCCTCCACAACTTGGATTGGTCTCTGTTTTTCTTTCTTCCTCTTTCTGCGCAACACCAACACTCAAATTTGTGCATAACACCAGAACATTATAAATGTTAGGAAAATCACACAAACAATTATAAGGGCAATCAGATATAAATATCCATAATCTCTAAAATGCATCTGTAACTTGCTGATGTCTTCCACAACTTTTCTTTTATCACTATCATCTTAAATTTATTGTACAGCATTTAATTCAACTTTTTCCATATCTAAAGCAGGTAAAATCTTATTTATGGGACCATTATAACAATTGTATAACGACAGTTGGGATGAAATTGAAGAATACCAGTATGAGGGAGTTCATAAATATTTTCGTGATTATTTGAATCAGTTGAACAGTACTGGGTTATTCTTCCAGGATTAGGGTC